GATGAGAAAGCATTATGCCACGGCTTATCTAGCATTCTTCCTTTTGCAATGGGACACACACACACACATTGTGTTTTTTACAGTCATTGGCATCCTAGAGTCCATAAATAATAAATAATGTAGATATATGATTTAGGTTCATATAAACAAGAGTAAATCAGAAGGACTTCAGTAAGTCAATATTTTGAAATATGACAGTAAACCAAATATAACCTATTTATATTTTATAAATTATTATTTATAATTTAAAACCTATTATTCTAGAATAATTTTGCACACAATAAACACTAGTATAGTGGCTGAACTAGGAAGGACTCTGAATGCCAGGCTTTGGTGGTGCAGATTTGATGGGAAAGAGGGGGATCGTATCTGTAGACTCAAACAAGCCCTCATTCTAGAGACAACACATGCAGCACACACAGTTCCGAGCAAGAAAGTATCACATTTTGTAAGCTTTAGGCTTCCTGGAAATCATATACATATAGTGTGTACACACATATAATGTAAAAGCATATATAATGTAAATGTCATAGTTTTTGATATTATTGATGAAAACACCCAAAGGTCCATTCACTCTCCCAGATTCTGTTCTTAGACCTATGTGGTTTCTAACAGAGTTATATAATTACTTCAAGAGTCTTCTCTTGCATCTAGTTTTAACTTTTAAGGCATTTGAAAACCTTTAGCATGATATTTAATCATCAATAGAAATGTGAAATGTTACATCTCTATATGTAAGGAAGAGCAACTCAAGAAACTGGTATTGTCTTTAAAAAAATCCAGCTTAGTTTTTAATTCTTTTGTTATCTTAGATCTCATTTGTAATCACATTGTGATTTTTTTTTATTTTCCTGCTAAAAAAAAACTATTTAATCTTAACCAAATTAAAAAGTACATCAAATGGTAGACTGAAAATCACTTCTCGAGTTTCTATTTACCTATTCAAAAAGTAACTCAAGAAATTAACTTACCCACCAAAAGATGTTGGTCAGGAACCACTATTGTGTAAACGCAAAAAAAATATTTTTCATCATGCTTTAATTTGTGACATATGGGGACCGAATAAAAAAAGGAAATGAAAGACTTACCTCCCCAAGGAAGTCGTTGGAAGAGAATCTATCATAATCCCAAACTGTCACCTCCAATGTCTTCTTCATGAGCTGCATTCGGATACAGCGGTCATCAACCCCATATCTCCAACATGCATTTCAGTATATTCATAGATGATTTTCACCTTGAATTCTTTTCATTTTATGAAAGTACTTGGTATTTTACTTAAGATTCTACATTAAATGTTGTGTGAAATTGTAATGATTAATTTGTAATTCAATCTAGTGTTTGATTATAGGAGACCTCATTATTTTGTGAATAAACTAGTTACATTCACTTCATGTCATTCTTACTACTCACTTAACAAAAAGCAGTCTATACTCGCTAAATATATGAAAGCCATGAATCTAAAGCATTTACATTTTTCTTCATCTCAATCATTGCCAAAAATGAAGCATTTTTACTTCTGTAGAATTTAACTTTTTAAAGAACTCAGATTAATATTAATTTATAACTTTATATTCATATTCACTTTCCAGAGAGCAAACAAGAACCTCATTTTGAAAGATTGTTTCCTGTAAATTATCTTATGACTTTTCTGTTTCTTTCTTTTTGCTCTTTTTCTTGTTTATTTTGTTTTTTGAGACAGGGCTTCTCTGTATAGCCCTGGCTATCCTGGAACTCGCTCTGTAGAATAGACTGGCTTTGAAGTCACAGAGATCTGCCTGCCTCTGCTTCCCAAGTGCTGGCATTAAAGGGATATTTGTCTCCTGTTATTTATTGCAGCTATGGAATCCACATTCTTTTAAATTAAAAAAAATATGCACTAATATGATTTTGTCTCCAAACACTTATTTTTGATTTTGATGTTTTATGGTAGTCACCATTACACTTTCTTCACAAATTTTAATTTTTTCTTCTTGGGAAGCTTCAATTTACAGAAATGAATTCCTACATCATAGTTGGGTAGAATAAATAACACTTTTTATGCATTTCATCTTATCTTTGTATGTTCCTTCTGAAAAAAAAAAATACAGCCAGTTGAAAATACTTCCTCCCAATGTGCAAATCTGAACCAGTCTATTGAAAATGTTTCATTTAAAAATATTTTAAAAGCCTCATTTCACTAAATTATTTGTTTATGTTTTGACTGCTTTGTTAAAATATGAGCATTTGTTTTTACCTTACCGTTGAACTTTCCTCATTTATTATCACTGAATATATTTCTTTTGTGTCTTTAATGGACTCTTACTGTGTGTGGAAAACCTTGATAGAGGCCCTGACTCTTCCATAATGTGGCCATCACTACACTTACATCAGTCTACATCTGTTATTTATAAAATAATAATTACATACCTGCTCCATGGAAATACTTTTATAAATTACTGTCTGATTCCATTCAGGATTAAGACTTTTCTGGACATATTTAGTTCTTCTCTTGTGCTCAGCACTGAATTGGAAGAGAGAAAAGAGTTAGTGTGGCATTTAACTGACTTGGTCACACTGAAGGACATGCAGCATGTGACAGATCTGTGGTCTCATACCACTGGGAGGCCACTACATCTTGAAACTCAACTTCAAGTTGAACACACAATGAGTGACATTTTGAAAATATATTGGGTGTCTTGAGTTTTGCTTGCATTACTGAGTATGTCTTTAAAGAAATTCCTGCATGACTTTGGACTATACTTTACAAATTTTACTTTTTCCTAAATGTGGGAGAGACTTACATTAACTATATAATAATGTTAATATCTTTGTGCTTCATAAATAGTAATATAGTCCAACTTCTGATAGTTTTACACCTAATCTCATCAGCAAAGCTAAATTGTCTCCCCCCAACAGTGCCTAAAAAGTAATGATATCAAGAGAAGGGTGTTGTGTCACTAGAGTGTAATGATATCAAGAGAAGGGCGTTGTGGCACAAGAGTGTGACACCAGCATTTGCGGGTGGAAGCGGAATTCAGCTTCCTCAGTTACATAGTTACTTTGGACCCAATTTGGGTTCCATTAGACCCTGTTTTCTTTTGTTTTTTAAAAAGAAAGAAAGGTAAAGAAGATTGCCTTTACAGAAAAATAAAGACAAATGGCTCTTATAATAGATGAAATTTCAAAAACTTTCCCAAAAGGGTATTTGAAACTCCTTTTGAAGTATGATATTTACCATGGTTATGAAGCAAATTTGAATGTCTTATGCTACTAGTTTACGTTAAAATTGAAACTAAATTAAAATCTTCCTTCATTCATTGTAACTTGGGGCATTTCAATGAATCCCCAATTCTTCTATCGTCTGTAAGCAATCATTAGAAGCTCATATTGTATATATACATTCACCAACTGAGACTGAAAATCTATCGGAATTAAATATACAGCTGGCATGAACTGGTGGCTGGAGCTGGAACTAGGCAACTGCTCTCTGTGATTAACAGATGGTGATCCCACAGGCAAGGCCTTTCCTTAACGTCACCTTTTCTGGATTTTCCATCTTAGTTCACATCTCACTGATGAAATAATATTTTTTTTTCTGGTAGGTGTCATCTATTTACTAGGAAGTCTTGGATACTTGTCTAAATTTACTGGCTACCTTTCCTTAAAGACAGTCAAAACTCCATATCCCTTGCACTCCAGGAGAATACAAAGTAATTATTCTGGGATAAGGCTTGAACATTGATTTTTGAAGGCTGTACTGTAATATGCGGTGAAATTTGAGCTGTGGGTTTTGTGTCTTACCAAACCTCATGTTAGCCATGACAAACTGATTCCAGGTCCTTCTCACTTCTAACTGTCCCATTTGAGTATACAAAAATAAGAACAGGATTTAATGTTTGTCAATAAAGATAAATTACAGATGCTTTGGAAGAAATGCTTACACAATGATTTTAACAAACAGAATTCTCATGAAATTATAAGTTTGTATATATATTTTGTCTATAATTTTGTCACTATCTAGTGAAGTTTAAGTTATTGTATATATATATACACATATATATGTGTATATATATATATATCCAGAATATTTCAATTCTACTAATTCTGCTTCTACCCTAGAGAATTTTCTCACTTATACAAAAGGAATTTATTCAAAACTATTTACTACAATGTTATTTCTACTAAAGTTAATAAGTGAATAAATATGTACTTATATATTCAATCAGTGAACCATTAAGCAACAGGATGAATTAAATCAAATACTTGAAAATATTTTTATTTAAAGTTTTGCAGAGAGATAAGCATTTCAATGTTAAGTTATCATTATGTGAATTTAAAATCATTAAATAATTGTATAAATAACTGGGTACATTTGTACATATGACATCTATATTAATATCATAGGAAAACTTAGGAAGTATAAATATTAAATTCAATTAAGTAAATGTTCTAGGTTGACAAGGAAGTAGTTTTAAAGGCTCCAAATGTACCTGTAATGTATCTACTATTATAAAAACATCTGAAGCAAGTATAGCAAAGTGTTGATGATAAAATTAGATAATAAGCACATAGGTATTAATTAAGGTATAATTTTCAGTAAACTTGAAAGGTTCCAGTTCCAAAAAATGGAAAGTTCTTGGCAGGGTATGTTCTTTTATACTATGTTTGTTGTTTAGTTATGGGAACAATTAATCTGAACACCTTGCGGTAAACAGCCGACTTTGCTCAATAATTTGGATTCATAACTGTCCTTCTAGGCAGGTGTACTTAAGCAAGGCACAAAGTAATAGAATTTTAAATTTCTATGTGGCTCAGATTTAGTTATCAAGATGGTAGAATTATGGGAACACCACAGTAATGATAAAATCCAAAATTTGATGATCACCAGTAATATTATTTTTTAAAGTTCTAAAATAGTGAATCTACATAATTTTAAGACAGGCATGAAGTCAACTATAAGCATGTTCTTTCATTAAAATATAGCTATGCCTTAAACTGAAAGGATTTATCCAAAGGATTTATTAATCCCCATGGCTTCTTAATCCATACAATATGAATAAATAATAAAAGTTTCATACCCACATTTAGTAATTCTTGTCACTTTTACAGATAGAAAAATCATTGCATACCAGTACAACTGTAATGGTGTTACCTTATGATCATATATTTTATTCATACTTGAAAAGCATTTTGTAAAACAGTCACATTGAAATAAAACTACATTAAGTTCTGACTGCTTCCTGAGCTCTAACTGCTTTTTTGTGTTAACCCATTTAATCTTTAAGGCTTCCTTACAAAACAGGTTCTATTTATTATCTTATTTAATAGGTAAGATTGTCTGAAGCTTAAATTCTAAGCCTTAGGAGAAGATGTGCTAGTAAGGCTACATGGGTGTTATGTGGTAGGATTAGGAATTAAGTATAAAAAAATCCTTATTCTTTACTCAATATGTTATATGAAATTAACTTATTAAACCCATCCAAAAGTATCACTTAGTTATGTTTTCTTAACAGGCTTTATTAGCTGAAGTTTTTTACTTTGTCTCTATAACATAAAGTTCCTCCACCTCAATTTACATATAACATAAGTTATAAATATGTATACACACACTTTCACAACAAAAGATATTAGAAGACTTTTAGATTTGCCTAGAGATATTCTGAATCTCATAGCATATGTGAGACTCGGGGATAAATATTACAGGCATTTATCTTTTCAAGGAGTCAGAAGTAATCTAAGATGGCACAGATTAAAGCATTATATCAATAGAGTATCTTTGTTTTATTGAATTTGATTCTCCAATTCTGTCCAGACTCAACCTCCTTTCCACAGATTTTTTTTAATGGCCAGCTCTTCTGCAGAGCATCCACATAACACTTCTTCCACGTATCAATAGATAAAAATAACTTACAAGTTTAAGTGCAAAAGTACACAGGATATCAAACATAAGAAGTTTATGTATGAGATATTATGCCACCTCAAGCTTTTATATATTCAAAAAATAGAGTTTGTGAGCTAACAAATATTGTCTTTTTATAGTTCTGTCAAGTTCAATGGAAGTGAGTTTAACCTAATTTACAAACACCAACACCAGTATCACTTATCTGCTATTTATAAGCAAAATCATATTTTTCAATAAATTAAAATCAATGCAACACCCATCCAGGCTAGAATGCTAGCTGTTTGGTGAGCAAAGACCTTATATCAATATAAGTCTGTAAAGTCCCAAGTTGATCCTTTTCAAACTGTATCCATTCTGTGCATTGACAATGTGAAGTTCAAACCCATTTCTCTTTGTGTATGCATTTGTGATCTTACCATTTTGTACTGAGCATTGAGATTTTGAAAAACTTATTTTGGCTTCAATGTCTTGTAGCTTTCTTTATAAACTGAGCTATAGCCAGACAGCTTCATCATGCTTAATGCTCCTAAATTTCTACTTTTGACATTCCAGTCCTCGTTTACAGAACTCCGTTTTCTCACACTCTGGCAGTCTGAGCCTTATTGCCTTCTTTGTGGCCACAGCCTTTTCCTTTCTTCCTCTTGCTCAGTAAACAGCTCTTGGTTACAGTCCCCACCAGGCAGGGCACAGCTATGCATGTCTCTGCCTGGGGGTTGGCTTGCAGGGCCTTTGAGCTTTTGTAGCTATCTGAGGGGTCATTTGGGTTCCCAACCACAACAGCACAGCAACACTGAGAACAGAACCCCCAGTTTCTTGAACTGCAACTCTTGAAGCCGTTTCTTGTTGTTTTGTTTCCAATCATAGGCTTGTGTTGTTGTTCTTGCAATTTCTTTTCCATTTCCAGTCTCTGAACTAAAGCTTCCTAGGTGTCCATTGCTGGCTTTCTGCCTCTGAAGGGGATGGACTAGGTGTTGGTTTAGGCTTCAGCTACTCTTCTTGGCTTCCCAATCTCTTCTAGCTCAACTTCAGCTCCTTGTTCTAGTGTTGAACTTGTGTCTGGATCTTGATTGAATGTGTTCTGATAGATCATTTTCTATCCCTGCTTCTAGATCTTGACTTTTCCTTATCTCTAATCCTGGACTGAGACTTCTTTGATCCCTATTCTTGGACCAAGACTTCTTCCTTTATTACTTCGATGGAGACTTTCATGAGATCTAGATGTTGAGTGGCTTCTGCCTCATGATGATTTCCTTTCTGTGTGCTGTGTCTGTCTTCACCATTTTTAGATGAACTTAGATGCTCCCTTTTTGATCAGAAGATTGTTCTTTGCCATGTGTTCCTCAGACTTGTGGATAATCCTCTTAGAGGATTTATCTTTGGACCGTGTCTTCTTGTCTTTATCATGAGATAGGTTCACTATTGGCATGTGAGTCTACAGCCTCTTCAGTTCAGTCCTTGGTCTGCTCTTTGCTTCTTCTGCAGCACCTGTGTTTATGTCCTTCATTATCTGACCTTCAGTTTCTTTCTCTTGACCTTGACCATCATCTTGAATAATGATGTTTTTGGCTCCAGGAGAAAGGAATACACCTCACTGCTCCTTTTTGTTTCTCTGTCTGGGG